ACCACTAGGAACCCTATCTATGCACAAATTTTGTGCACTGGATCGCTAGTATATGTATAAAGATGCTGCCCTGCACTGGTGCTCAGAGTGAATCTGTCAGCTATTAAGTCCTTGTGTTAGCCCTTTAAGAGAAACACCTGGAACTCACACAGTCTCATCTGGACAGAATTCCTGTTGATTTTCACAGGCAAAGTTGTGAGGATTCCTAAGCACCGGTGGTCTGGGCTAGGAAGCTGGGTATGGGGCTGGGATCCTGCCCCCTCCTCGGGGGGAACTCTGCAGGCTATAGATCCCTCCTGATTCTTTGATTGTAAATACTTTATAATTATACTGCTTAACAGTGGAATAAATTAATACTTATGGTTAGCATATGTACAAAAATTATGAAGGTGGTGGTATAGATGAAACTTGCAGGACTTTTTAAAGTAACCCCTCCCCTTTTTTTTCTTTCAGAGTATAGTAGTCCTTAAGGACGTCTTTTGCTTCATTTATTTTGGTTGTTAAGCATGGAGACCCACCTTAATCTGGGTGGTTCAAAATCATGATTCTCCTGTGAGCTGTTTTAATCTTGGTCTTGCCAGCAGATGAGTTTATACCCCAAAATAAGACTAGCTTGTCACCTACACATTTTCTGTTCAAATCCTTCTTTACAGTAGGGTGAAAGCTTAGGGACTGAAATCTTTGCAGTTTCTGTGATTACTTGCTTAAGAAGTTTCCAGATCTGAAATACATGGCAACCTGCAGATCCAAAAGCTGGAACACCTTGTCCTAAAGCTATCAAGCTTCTTGCCAGTCCCTGGTCAATTTCCGTGTCTGGCCATTTGGTTGAGGGCAGCAAGTACTCAGTATAGCGCTGGTCCTTGCCCCAGGGGACACCACCACCAAGGGCAGTCATGGCAATGCGGCGAGGGAGGCGCTATGCGCATTGGCAATGCCTACATTACAGATGCAGGGACAAACTATCCCTCCTAATTCTTTACCATGGGTGTACGATCTGCCCATTCTGTTTCTCTGCCCCTTCTACCAGTGTTGACATGATTTTTTCTTTATATCCTTGTTAAAGAAGTTATATTCAGGTAGTCTTAAGGTTGTTCTCAAGGGTGGTGGTCCTATAATTTAGTTGTAATTTTGATGTGATTGTGGGAGAAGGCGAGCACAGTGTTAACCTACTCCGTCATCTTGACCAGAAGTTCATTCCAGCTCTTTTGACTGATGTTGCTATGGTGTAGCTTTTCCTATTTTTTGCTTTGAGATTGGAAGTGTACTGTGTATACCGAATATGAACCATTTGCTGGCACATGAGTCTGACTGTTTTAGAATATAGTCCTAGGAGCTCAAGCTTTAGTAGTCTCCACATACACGCAGCAATCTGGCAAGAGGCTCTTCTTTTGCATGTTGATTTTGCACCTCCATTTCCTGCCTCAAGGCCCCTTTTAATTTTATATTCTTTCAATCATGAGGTGCTATTAAATCTGATCCTCCAATGATCTGTGGGAGTTTTCCTACTTCAGGAAATGTGATCTTTCAGCATTTCTTGAAATTTTTTAGTCAACCATAACCGTCCTTTTCACTAGGTGCATTTCTGGAGGCAGAGTTCCTCATCATCAGTGATCTAAATTTACTCAGCAACGCCTTCTCTGGAAGAATCACACATCCGGAAGCCTGTCATTGTTAGATGATTTTTTAGTTGACCTAGCGATTCTTTCTTGAGATCACATTTCTTCCTAATTTCATTTTCTCGAGATATTTTGTTATTTTCTGATATTGTTTCATCATTAAAAGAGCCCTTTGTTTCTAGATCTAATTTTGGCCCTTTTGTAATATTGACATCTTTCTCTTGTTTTTGAACTTTCACTTCAGTTTCTAGCTCTGGTTTTGTGTACTTGAATAATTGTTCCAAGACTTCATTTTCTATGGCTAAATTGTCAATTTTCCTTTTTTCTGATCTTTGTTTTTCTGTAGAAAGAGATTGATTGGCAAATTTTTCACAGTGGGTTTTTAATCTATATCTATAAATGTTATCTGATTCCCCCTACCCCAGATCCCCCAGTCTTACTCTGAGATAGATGCTGCTTTTTTTCTACCCACCCCCCCACTCACACTGAGGGTGTAGCAAGTTGTATTTATTCTAGATGAGAATGAGACATTTTCATTCTTGCTGATTTAGATGAAGAAATTTCTTCATCCCTTCCCCTTTTCTTGGTTGGAAGTAGTTTCTGATGGGAGTTGATCAGCGGCTGCAGGGAAGCCCAATTTCTCCCTCTATTTACCCCTAGGAATGTCGTTGGTGAAAGCTGTATTATCATCAGAGCTTATTTGGAGGTCCCAATAGATTAGATGTTTCTTGTGAAGACAGTCTGAATTTTTGTTCCGTTCTGAAGATTTTTATTTTTGATCTTTCACTCAAATCCGCACATCTGGTTGCTCTGACTCTGTGTTGGCTGCATGTTATGTTCACGGGGCACGTGGCATGAGCTTCTCTTTGACTGACAAGCCTTGGAAAAGGCTCGGTGCTGGAGTCGTCATCCTCAACCCACACTGGGCTGGCCCTGAGGGTCACAGCAATTCTCTGTAGTCAGGAAAATAACTGCCAATTCCATTTCTGCTTCAGGAATAGGCCTAAGACCTTGTCTTTGCATAGATTGAATGGATCTACTTTTTCTGAGAGTCAGAAATTAAGGAATTTGTATTTTTTGCATCAACAACAAAATGTTCAGGAGCTGAAAACGAACTATCATCATCTTCATTTTCTTCTGTTATCAACCTGGCATCTCCTCCTCCCAAAACAACTGCTGAACTTACGCTGCTTGGCATTCAGAAATACAAATGCTTTTCCTTTGAAGCTGTTTTCTTTCCTATTGTCCTAAAAGAACAATAATTTTACTTCTAATAGCTGGTTCGTCATCAAAGGTGGGTAAATCTTTCAATTTGTGGACGCTATTTTTTAGATATAAGTACTTTTAAAAATTCAGTAAATTATGCTGGCCTTACAACTGGACATCCACAAATGTGTGCACGTATTGTTTTAATGGCCACTTTAACTGATATCGTAACAGGGTGTGTGCATTCATACTGTAGTCCCCCGGGTTGCAGTATGGCTTGATTTAAAGCAGTTTTCCCAGAGACTTCTAAACAAGCAGAGTATGCAACCAAAGACTCAGACTCCACTCTCAACTTACTTCCAAACACTCCACAGTAACTCTATCCTCTCTTCAAAGTCTGGGAAAGGCCATTCTGCATTCTTCTTCATTAACAAAGGTACCATACTAATAATTATCTTTATTGTAAATATAAAGATTTTCATCTGTTTGACTAAGGTTGGTTACAGAAGAGTTGGCAATGAACACAGCATGATTTCTCAACTGATCAATCATTTTCTTTCTTTTTTTAATCCTCTCCCAATTTTCTCCATTTTCAGAGAAAGTGGACTGGCTGCTTCCCCCATGCGCCCCACCATGGGCAGGGAGTCAACCACAACCCAGGAATGCATGTGCCCTTGACCGGGAATCTAACCCGTGACCCTTGTGTGCACTGGCCCATTCTCTAACCACTGAGAACCAGCAGCCAGGACCTACTGATCATTTTCAATGAGAATGCCAATTTTCCCTTCCTACACGGTACTACACACCCGTCAAAAGTCTGTATGGTTCTTGGCTGGATCACGGGGGTTTGGAGGAAGTGGGGGGCAGGGGGAGCAGCTTCCACATGGGTCAGGTCCTCAGTGTCAGGGCGACCAGTGGCTGCACAATGACAGCTAACAGATGTGTGCGCTGCAGTGCCTTGGGACTGCGGGCACCCAGACATATGAGCTCCCCATATTAACCTCTTTAAACCTCAGTTTATTCATACAAGTTACAGCATTTCTCATAGTCTTGTTAGGGTTGTTAAATGAGAAATTCATTAAAATGCTTGCCCTGCATAAGTGGCAGTTGCTCCTATAATTGCCAATGGCCATTAAGCTAGTACAGGGCAGGACTGATATTCAGACAGGCTTGTGATTCTAAAGCCAATGCCTTTCCCCTACACCATCTTGTTTTCCTTCTCTTCCTTAGAAAGAATTAACAGAGGAAAAAATAATAATTCACACATCTTTCATACATTTACCTCCGGTCTATCCTATCTAATCCACAAATATTAAAATGGCTAGGTTCTGTGAGGAATCTAAGAAAAGGCTCAGTACTTGATCTCACATATGGCTAACTAGACTCATTATCTCAAGAGCAGTCTTTCACAACCTCAATAGCAGTGTGTACTTAATGTAGGACTTAAATATTCAGGCTTTAGAATACAAAAGGCCTGAATTTGAGTCTCAGCTTCTCAACCTCTAAGATCCACAATTCCTGATCTGTTGAAAGGGAATAACAACATTAACTCCCTGATAGGAATTTTTGGAGGATAAGATAAAAATAATGTATTTAGAGCAGGGCCCGAACATGGTTAATGCTTCCAAATGGTAGCTGTTATTATTACCAAAGTGAGATACCGTTTTCTACATTTAAAGCTTTTCCCATTAGTGCAGCCAACCAACAATTAGTGCCCCTTTGTGTAATAAAAAAAATCCACAATCAGCTTGTTTGATACTAAACAGAGCATTAAATTTAAAAGGACACCAAGTTGATTCCTTACAGCCAGAAGCTTATTAAAGACAAGCCATTCTGTCATGTAGCTGGCTCTATCACCTATGCCTCTCAACAAGGACAGAAACGCTTAGACTGCCATTCTCTCTGAGAATGTCCAGAGGTTAGGGTATCTTTGCATGTTAACCAAAGAAAGTCTTTATTTCTGCTTTGGAAGATAATTTTTTCTCTCCCACAAAAAAGAAAAAAAAAATACAGACAAATCAGACAGATATTTTCACTGATTTGTAAAAGGCGAAAGATTTATGCGCTCTGAAGAGAAACCAGAGCATTTTTTGTAAAGACTCATAATACCGAGAGAAGGGTCCACCCTCTCCAATAACCAGAAAAAAACTGTATCGATAAAATTCAGACTATAATTACCTCCTTCTGATGTTCTTCCCCAGCCACCTATGAAACACTCCGTCTTTTCATCCAGCCTTTGGAAAACATCAAAAGGTAGACAAATAGGCTGAATATAGTTATTATACTTCACTGCTTTTTTTAATCGAAAAAGTGCAATATCATTTACATAAGTTTCCAAACTGAAGTTTGGATGGATGATGATTGCTTTAACCTTTATAATCTTGGTGGGTGGACGTCTCCCATTTATATTATTAGATCCAAGCACAGCTCGCCACATTACAGGATCCCTGAAAGTAAATGTTCTTGTTATAAACACATTTATTTGAGTAACTATTCTTAATCTTCCACTAGTTTTTTTTTTTCCTCTCGTTAATAACAAAATTTTTTTATCCTTTTATGTGACATAAAGTCACATCAAATAAAAACCTAAATATCAAGATGTAGGAAAAGAGAAAAAGATCTATGAAACAGGAAGTCCAAAAACAGATTTTAGAGAAATTTTTTTAAATATATTTTTTTATTGATTTCAGAGAGGAAGGGAGAGCGAGAGAGAGATAGAAACATCAATAATAATGCCGAAACCAGTTTGGCTCAGTGGATAGAGCATCGGCCTGCGGACTGATCGATGTTTCTCTCTCATCAATGTTTCTGACTGTCTATCCTTCTCCCTTCCTCTCTGTGGAAAATCAATAAAATATATAGAAAAAAAGAAACATCAATGATAAGAGGGAATCATTGATTGGCTGCCTTCTACACACACACACACACACACACACACACACACACACACACACCCCGCATGGGGGATCAAGCCTGCAACCCAGGCATGTGCCCCTGACTGGAATCGAAGCCGGGACTCTTCAGTCCATTGGCAACATTCTATCCACTGAGCCAAATCAGCTAGGACTCAGAGAATTTATATGACTAAGGCAGCAGCACTTCTTACCAGTGGACAGAGCATAAATTAGTAAATGATATTGGAGAAACTAGTTTGAAAAGTGAATTAAATCTCTGAAAAACATGAAACAATAAAATAAACTCAAAATGGCTGAAACCGGTTTGGCTCAGTGGTAAAGTGTCGGTCTGCGGACTGAAAGGTCCCAGGTTCAATTCCGGTCAAGGGCATGTACGTTGGTTGCCCCAGTTGGGACGTGCAAGAGGCAGCCGACCGATGATTCTCTCTCCTCGATGTTTCTAACTCTCTATCCCTCTCTCTTCCTTCTGTAAAAAATCAATAAAATATATTTTTTAAAAATAAACTCAAAATGGATTAAATTAATTTAGACACAAATATTTTAAATAAAACTTCCTATATTTTAGAGATACATGAAGTGGTATGTCTGAGATTTGCTCCAAAATAATTGGAAGGGGAGTTGATGAGGATAAAGATGAAACTAACAAAAAAGATGAAACAAGCCGAAACCAGTTTGGCTCAGTGGATAAAGCGTTGGCCTGCGGACTGAAAGGTCCCAGGTTTGATTCTGGTCAAGGGCATGTACCTTGGTTGCGGGCACATCCCCAGTAGGGGGTGTGCAAGAAGCAGCTGATCAATGATTCTCTCTCATTGATGTTTCTAACTATCTCTTCCACTCTGTAAGAAATCAATAAAATATATTTTAAAAATATATTTTTTAAAAAAAGATGAAACAAGATCCTCCAAGAATTAGTAACAAAGCTGGGTTATTAGTATCTGAAAATTCACTAAACTATTCCCTTACTTGTGTAAATTCTTGAAATTTTAGAATGAAACATTTGGATATTAGCGTGAGAATTATAAAAATTAAATCAGAAAGAATATGTAGGTGAGTACATAAAACAGTATTGACATGAAGAACTTTATAAAGCATGGCATTAAATATCAAAACAATAAAAACCACACCAAAAAGCAAGCAAGACCCCAGACCAAAACAAAAGATGTTCTGTAGGACAAAAGTCAACAATTAAAACCCAAGCATTTTATAGTTGTTATACCTGTCACTGGATTGGGATTTACTTTTTACATGGTTGTTTAAAATTCCTTTTCACTGTTCAAGTTGGAAAAGTTTATGTATGAGTGTGTGTGTATGCGCACACATCCTATATAATAAAAGGCTGATATGCAAATTGTTTGAACAGTGAGACAATTGGTCACTATGACACACTGACCACCAGGGGGCAGACACTCAGTGCAGGAGCTTCCCCTCGGTGGGCAATGCGGTAGCCAGAAGCTGGGCTCATGGCTGGTGAGCGCAGCAGCGGTGGTGGGAGCCTCTCCCGCCTCCGTGGCAAGGGTAGAGATGTCTGACTGATGGCTTAGGCTCTTTACCATGTCAAAGGAACGGATCAGTAAAGGCACGTTACACAATTCAGGAGGCATTAAAAGCTTTTCCAAGAATTTTCAAGCCATACAAGCAGGTCTTTCCTCCCTTGGCTTAAGGTTTGAAAGCTATAGAAAAGCAGTCTTTAAAGACAGCACGTAGAAACAGTTGTACAACACCCACACCTCAAAGAGCAGAATTGACTCCTAACTCTAAACTTTTTCTCCATCTCTTTCTGTACCCTTGGTTTACACTGCTGTATCTTTCTAGGTTTATAATCTCTTTTCCTCAAAGGCCAATCGATAGAACTAAATCCTTATTTTAAAAATGTAGTGTACACATTTAAAACCCATCCAATCAGGCCAGTTCCCTCAATTGAATTTTGAAGTTATTAGTTCCTTTTAAAGACTTTTCATGCCCTAGCTAGTTTGGCTCAGTGTCTAGAGGGTCTGACCAAAGGGTCTTGGGTTCGATTCTGGTCAAGGACACGTACCTTGGTTGCAGACTCCTCCCCGATCTGGATCCTGGTTGAGGCTCATATGGAAGGCAACCACATGGATGTTTCTCTCTGTCTTTCCCTCTCATCCACTCTCCCTAAGAGTCAATGGAAAAATATCCTCAGATGAGGATTCACACACACACACACACACACACACACACACACACACACACACGACTTCATTCTTCTCTAAGACAGCTGTTCTTTTAAAATTAGTCTACCCTGGCTGGTTTGGTTCAGTGGATGGAGCGTCAGCCTGTGGACTGAAAGGTCCCAGGTTTGATTCCAGTTCAATGCACGTGCCCGGGTTTGGGGATCCCCCAGTAGGAAGCATGCAGGAGGCAGCCAAGCAATGATTCTCTATCATTGTTGATGTTTCTCTCCCTCTCCCTTCCTCTCTGAAATCAATAAAAATAAAAAAAAATCTAAAAAAATTAAAAGACGAGCCTGGCTGTTGTGGCTCAGTTGGTTGCGTGTTATCCCATGCACCAAGAGGTACCTGGTTCGATCCCAGTCAGGGCACATGCTTGGGTTGCAGGCTCAACCCCCAGTTGGAGCATGCAGGAGGCAGCTGATTGATGTTTCTCTCACATTGACATTCCTCCCTCCCCCCCCCCCGTCTCTCTCTCCTTCTCCCTCTCCCTCTCCCTCCCTCCCTCCCTCCCTCTCTCTCTCTCTCTCTCTCTCTCTCTCTCTCTCTCTCTCTCTCTCTCTCTCTCTCTCTCCCCTGCCCTTTCTTCTTTCTCTAAAGCCAATTTTTAAAAAACCATATATTTTTTTAAATTAAAGACTAAGGGAAACTGTATGACAGATACCATGGTTTTCCAAAGGATTTATCTTAGAACTTTATATACTACTATATATTCTAATCCTCACCCAAGGATATGTTTTTATTGATTTTAGAGAGAGGAAGGGAGAAAGTGGGAAAGAAAGAAATATCAACATGTGAGAGAACCATCAATTGGTTACCTCCTGTATGTGCCCTGACTGGGGATCGAACCTGAAACCTGGGTATGTGCCAAGATCGGTAATGGAACCCAAAATCTTTTGGTGTAGGACAACGCTCCAACCAACTGAGCTACCTGACCAGGGCTAGAGCTTCATATTAAACTAGAGGCTCAGTGCATGAAATCCGTGCACAGGTGCCGTCCTTAGGCCTGGCCGGCGATTGAAGCGCAAGCATCTGGTGTGGAAGGGCAGATCCCAGGTGAACTCTGGGCCCTGGGCAGCACCTCGGCCCCTGGACCCCTGCGTGCCCCCCTCCGCCTGAGTCCCCACGCGGAGATGCGGTGAGCGCAGCTAAACACGGCCGGCCAGGATGCAGCCTGGGCCTCTGGGCCTCCCAGCGGCACCGCATGAAAGCTGGGCAGGCCGTGCACTCTCCCCCAGCCTGCCTCACAGACCGCCTCCTGCGTGAACCCACATGGAGCCCAACCAGCCCCCGCTTATCCGGAAGAGGCTGTGCGGGGGCGGGGCAGGCTCTTTGCACCTGAGCACGAGGCGTGAGGGCTTCCCCGGTGCAAGCCCTGGCATCCTGGGGAAGGGGAGCAGAGGGAGAGGGGACACCTGCATTCTCCCTGCACTTCTTCCCCGTCACCCTGCCCCCCAGGTAGCTGGCAAGAGGTTTCAGCCCTGCCTGGGTGGCACGGGAGGTTAGTTGCTGCCACCCTCCCCCCTCCCTCGCAGTTCCCTGTCCCAGCCCAGGGCCCAGCCTGGATTGGGAGATCAGGGCCTGCTGGCAGCTGGTCACCATTTGCAGGCCAATCTGTGGAGTGATTGGGCCCCCGCTCGCACCCACCTTGGTTTGGCGCTGCCCCCTCACCTGCTCCACCATCCCGCTGTGGTCCCACTCTCATCAGGGCCATCAGGGCCAGCAGCCCCTCTAGCTGCCCATTGCCAGCACTGCATCACTGATGCCACCATGTTCCTTGCCACCCCCTGGTGGTCAGTGCATATCAAAGCAAGTGGTCGAACTCCCGGCTGTATTAGGCTTTTATTATATAGGACTAGAGGCCCAGTACACAAAAATCATGCATGGGTGGGGTCCCTGGGCCTAGCCAGCGCTCAGGGCCGGTCAGGGCCAGGCTGGAGAGGAGGTGACGGTTGCTAGGCCGGGCGTGGAAGGAACGGACGCTAGACGCCGCCATCATTGGCGCTCTGCCACCGCACGGTTCCTTCCCGAGACTGTACCACCACTGTGGCAGGCAGGCAGTGGGACAATGGGGGCCTGCTGGCCGGGGGGAGGGATGGGCATAGGAAGTTGGCCATTAGCCCTGAAAAGGGAACTGGACTTCAGCCCCCTGAAAAGGGTCGCATCTACTGCCACCCATCCCCGGTTCCCCATCCCAGCCTTGGGTGATTGAGGACTACTGACTGGGGGGGAGGGACAGCGGGAGGTTGGCTGGCTATGAGAGGTTGGCTGGCTGCGGGAGGTTGGCTGGCTGTGGGACATTGGCTGTGGGAATGCACTGACCGCTAGGAGGCAGCTCCTGAACTGAGCGTCTGCCCCCTAGTGGTCAGTGCACATCATAGCAACCAGTTGGTTGGTCATTTAGGCTTTTACATATATACTATGTACGGAATTTGTGCAAGGGACTCAGCCCTTGCAGCCTCGGCTTCGTCCAGAAGGACATTGGGAAGGTCATTCAGCTGCCTGGTCTAATTAGCATTTTACCCTTTTATTATTATTATAGAAAATGGTTCTGTTCTCACTGCAGTAAATCCTATTTCTCCAAGACTGACATAATCCATAGATTCAATAAACATTTACTGAAGTAGGCTACATTCTATATTAGTACCAGGAATACACTAGTAAAATAAAACATGTAGTCCTTGCCTTCAAATAACTCCTGATCTAAAGGTGAGAAAGACAAATACATGATTACAATATAATAATTTTAAAAGCTAAAAAAAAGTTTCATTATTTAAAGCAAGGTCCAACCAAATCCAACCCACAAGCCAAATCTGGCCTGTCTCCTATTTTGACACAGCTAAGAAGCAAAGAATTTTTGCACTTGTAAATGGTTGGCAAAAAAGTAATATTCTGTTCAAATTTCAGTGTTCATAGATAGCTACTGGATCACAGCACACCCATTCAATTATGTATTGCCTACGACCACTTTGGTTCTACAGTTACATAGTTGTGACAGACACCATATGGTCTGCAAAGCCTAAAATATTTACCAAAAAATGTCTTTACAGAAAATGTTTGTTGACCTCTGACTTACAGGATTCACTTCAAAAGATATTCAGCGTAGTACATATAAGGCATAATAGACCCTTGCAAACATACAGCTTAACATGATTGAAGTCGAAAGTCCCTCCACCACTTTAAAATATTCCTAAGAGAATAAAATAGGAGTGTGTTATGAATACATACCTAGTGTCCCTAGTGCAGTGGGCAGCTGTGAGGACCCAGCTGTTTCTCACTAAGCTTCCCCCACATATATGAACCATATACTTTCCGGACCGGATCTGCAGGCTGACGATCCAGGGCCACGCGCCAACCTGAGCGTCTGTGCCCCCCACAATCCGGGACCCTGTCAGCACGCTCACAAGCGGGGCTGTTCCACAACCTAAAAACAAAAACGCAAAAAATATAAATAAATAAATAAATAAATAAATAAATAAATAAATAAATAAATAAATACAAAAACGCCACATTACTTAGACCGAACATCTCATCATATGCATCACTTCCCAATCTTACCACATTGATTATAACCTTTTAAGTTCCTATTTTAACAACTGGCCGAGCAAGCTGGATACCATACTTTGAGGGAGGGGGGGAAAAAGGAGAGGAGAAGGTCAACAGCATGTCTTCATTATTTGTACAGAGAACGACTTGAAATCCACACATATCAAACACTTTGAAGCTCCGTTGCCCAAAAGCATCCACATGGGGTGTGTTTCTGGCCAGGTGCCGTGGTCTCCCCTGGGGGAACTGGTGAGCCAGAGCCATTTTTAGTGTTTGTTTTTCTGACTGCAGTATAAAACGGTCTCCTCGCGGCCCTAACCCAACGCTGACTTCCAGTGAATTCTCCATCTGAGCACGGGAATGACGAACCCGTCCGTGTCCACAGAGCCGCCCTGCACACACCTGCCCTTTCCAGTCAGGGTTACCAGGGGATGCTGGGTCCGTACGTTTTAGCTCAAGGCCCTTGGAACGAGGGAAAGGAGGGCCCGAGCCAACACCGCGGCGGCGGGGCCAGACGAGGGGACCGGTCCGGAGGGGGGAAGAACAGATACTGCCCTGTGCGTCCTCCTGCCGCCGGAGCCGCCCGCGGGACCAGGAGGGGCGCCTGCCGGGCGAGGGCGAGGCGCGTCCCGGGAAGAAGAGGGAGCTCCCCGGCGGCGGCGGCAGCAGCAGCAGCAGCAGCAGCAGCGCGGCGCCCAGCGGCCCCAGCCGCATAGTGGACGCCGGCGGGCAAGATGGCGCAGGCCGCCCACCCGCCGGCCACGCGGTGGGGCAGGTGAGGGCGGAGCCAAGGGGCGGTGAGGGCGGGGCCAAGCCCGCTACGTCAGGGCATTGCGTGTAGAGGTATCCCGGTGCGTGCGCACTTATTGGACAGATGCACCAAGAGTCCCGCCCTCAGCCAGGCTCCAGGCGCTCCTGATTGGCCAGGTCCACACACATCCGGGAACAGCGGGCCTTTGGTGGGAGGAACGGTGCAATACTGCGGTGGGGGCTGCTGGCTAGACCTGCGAGAGGCCGGGAGGGCTGGTCTGCGAAGGCGGCAGAGCTGGGCACCGGGGCGGTAAAGCAGGAGGCAAAGCAAGTGCAGAGGTTGGGATTCGAGACAGTACCGGCACTGGGGAGCCCGATTTCTGTGACATAGGTTGACTCAATAATTGTTTTAGTCGTTTGTCTTTAGCGTGTCTCAGGGAGAGCGGATACAGTCTAAAGACCCGCAAAGCTGAGGACAAAGCCTGCTTGAAGGGAACGGCCACCTCCACCTCAGTCATGGTGCCTCCACTGTCAAAATCCATGCGATGTCCCCTGGACACTCCACATTGTGTGGGGAGAGGGTGTAGGGAAGGAACTCCAGTTAATGGGTCCACTGGACAAGTATTACACGAGGTGCTGGACAGGGAAATAGCATCATATCACCGGAAATGTGTTAAGACCCAGAGCACTTTACAACTTGGCTGGCACCCAACCCGAGCCCAACACCATTTCGGACACCAGCCAGTGTTGTAGGCCGTGGCAGTCCAGGAAGCTCCCTGCGGGAGGGGGAGGTCAGCTGGGCCTAGTTTGAGGGGGGTGGCAAGAAGAGGAAGTGGGTGTAATGAAGACAGGCTAAGGGCAAACTCATTAGACAACAGAGCCAAATATCAACAGTTCAACTATTGAAATTTCTTTTGAGAGCCAAAAACCGACTTCTGCACATGGGCCACCAAGTTTCAATCGCACTGCGCGCCTGCAGGAGGTGCGGCGAAAGAGCAATGAATCTTGCCGACCACTGAGCTAGGCTAAGGGACAGCATAAGCAAAGGCATGGAATTTTTAAAATTAATAAAGGAAACCTCAACCAAAATTGGAGTCTGGAGGGCCTGTAGACGGGAGAACTCTCACACCCTATCACTCATCACTGGTTGCCCCAAACTGGAAGAGATATGCCCCACTTCTCAGAGGTGATTCCTGCAACTGAAAGATCTCTTCTGATTCTTCTTCTTCTTTTTTAAATTCTCACCCAAGGATATATTTATTGGGTTAGAGAGAGAGGAAGGGAGAGAGAGAGAAACATCAGTCAATTGCTTCTTGTACGTACCCCAAATGGGGAGTGAATCGAACCTGCAACATTTCTGGTGTAGAGGATGATGCTCCAACGGACTGAGCAACCCGGTCGGACTCCCTCCCAATTCTTAGCTGCCATCCCATGGGCATGGGAACTGCTGGTTCTGCACTTCCACCTGATTAGTCTCACGTGGCTTCTTTATATCTTTAGTTGTAAGAATTCTTTCAGCTAGTCTTCAGGTGGTACTCAGTTTTAGTTGTAAAATTTAGTAAATTTGATGTGGTGGTGGGAAGAGGCGATCATAATCTCTACCTACTCCACCATCTTGATCAGAAGGAGTTTTTATTATTACTGTTCTGTTCTCTTACAGAGACCGAGGAAACCATGCCTTCACATTTTTTGACCAGGACATGTCAGTGAAAAGACACGAAGCTTAAGGCTTGTTCTTGGTTTTGCATTTAATTTGATTCTCCTTTGGGTCCAGAATCACCATGTATGGGCCTTCTTCCCTTTAGCAGAGTCATTTAATGTGGTTTTGGAATATGCAGTAGTAGGCCTGAAACCTGCTTCATACTTAGGGTAAGGCTGCTGATGGCTCAGCATAATGAAAAGAAAGCTTTCAGTGTGGCAAGAGCGAGGAAAGAAGCAGGCAGCTCACAGTCCAACAGGGCAGATGGCCAAAAATATGTCTATGAGAGTTTCATCATGGATTTTTAAGAACAATGAAATCTGATGTCTGGTTTTAATGATCTTATTGCTATCTTGATTTGTCCCTCTGTTAACCCCACACCTTCATTACAAGGAAGCAGGGCGGGCTGTGGTGTCTGGGAGGGATGTCACACTGCGGGGAATGAAAGTAAGGCTCAGTGAGAGGACAGCCACCTTGTTGCATCAACCATGTGAGATTGTCATGAGCGACAGCATCAGATCAAAGGAGGCCACTGGGCTTTCAGGGGGAAAGGGAAGAGACGCTTAGGGCTGAGCTGAAGTCAGTGATAGGCAAGTGATACCGGAGCAACAAGCTGCAGCATGAACTGACCCAGGGGCACACAAGAAACACATTTCCTGTTCCCCAGATATTGTAGTGGGAGGTGATACTTGAAAGGGAAACACAATTGGGGTGTTTGTGTGTGGGTGGGGATGGATACGACCAGATTGGGTATGGCTTTATAAGCAGGGCAAGATGATGAATCTTGCTGTGACAGGTGACAGAGACACAGCAGATTGGTTTGACATATCCTGATAAAAAAGAGGTGCGTGCAGCCAGGCCACGAGGAGGCAGTGGGCCGGGAACCACAAAGTCCTGTGCCTGGATTTCTTCTGCCTTAACTAGGTCTTCTCTCTTCTCTCCTGCACCGTCACTTCCTTTCTTTGTGGATCACACCATGAGCAGGCAAGTATACTCTGGGGCAGTAGGGAGCCTCCAGAATGGCCTCCGATCAGCCCTGCCTCCTGTATTCACAGCCTGGTTCAGTCCCCTCCCCTTACTGTTAGCTGGATTTAGCACCATGCTTCTAGCAAATAGTGATAGAGATGATGGCCTATCACTTCCAATATTAGGTTGTCAAAAGATTGTGACTTATTTTTTTTTCTTTGTTGATTAAGGTATTACATATGAGTCCTTATCCCCCCATCCCCCTATCCTCCCACTCATGCCCTCACCCCCCTGGTGTCTGTGTCCATTGGTTGGGCTCATATGCGTGCAAACAAGTCCTTTGGTTGGCCTCTCCCCCTTACCCCTACTCTCCCCCACCTTCCCTCTGAGGTTTGACGGTCTGATCAATGCTTCTCTGTCTCTGGATCTGTTTTTGTTCATCAGTTTATGTTGTTCATTATATTCCAAAAAGATTGTGGCTTATGCTTGAACATGCTCTCTAGCTCTCCTGCTCTGAGGGAAGCAGGCTGCTGTGCTGCGAATGGCCCTATGGCCCGAGGGCATGGCCTCCAGCCCCACCGACAAGGAACTGGAGGCCTCAGTCCAACAGCCCACAAAGAACTAACTCCTACAACACCGCCCGCGTGAGCTGGGAAGCATCTCTTCCCCTGTCAAACCTTCGAATGAGACCATAGTTCTGGATAACGTCCTCACCGCAACCTTCTGAGAGATCTTTAGCCAAGCGTCCCACTGAGCCACACTCAAGATCCCTGACCCACAGAAACTGTGAATAACAAATTTTTGTTAAGATCCCTGACCCACAGAAACTGTGAAATAACAAATTTTTGTTGTTTTTAGCCACTGAGCTTTGAAATAATGAGGTATAATACATCTTGTTTCTCCTACCATTGAAAAGTGTGGACGAAAGGGATCATGTGTTAACCTGAAAAGCTCAGGAAAGGCCTGTGTGGCAGCCTTGCAAACTCAGAGACCTAAAGTAACCACAAAGGATGCCCTGAAATGAACACTTTCCTTTTTTTTTTTTTTTTAAATCCTTACCTGAGGATATTTTTTCCATTGATTTGTAGAGAATGGAAGGGAAAAGGAGAGACAAAGAGAAACACTGATGTGAGAGAGACACATTGATTGGTTGCCTCCTGCATGCCCTGGACCATGCTCTTAACTGGAACGGAACCCGGGACCCTTCAGTCCGCATGCCGACCCTGTATCTATCCACTGAGCCAAACCAGCTAGCGCTGAAATGAACACTTTTTAACTAAAAGCAGTTTATGGCGGGTAGTCATTGAAATATAGTGGCAACCATACTTTGGTAAAAACTGCTGTTTGAATTTTAACCCCTCTAGTTTGGCCCCTGCATCTGATTAAAACACTGGGTACTTACCTCAGCTTCCAGATGGAGACCTGGAGGCTAAAGCAATTTTCCCTTGCCTGGGACCAGGACCACCGGAGAATGATTCCCACTGACTCAGTAGCTTCAGGGATAGAAACTGTAGATAACCTTTAGAGACTAACCGCTGAGCTCTGCTTCTGTGTTATCGCTATCGCAAGACAGGGCCACATTCCAATGTCCAGCAGGATGTGACTGGGAACCAACCCCGCGGGCTGTCCCAGTCTTTAGAATTTAGTCTTTAGGATTTAGGAACAAAAGGAAAATTCTTGCGGTTTAAACCTTTAAAAGAAATTGCCTACCCCTGAAACGGTGCAGTCGTGTGGAGACCACCTGCGTGTGGTGCTCTCGTGGCTGTCCTGGCCAGATATTTCAATAAATCCTTGCCTGCTTTTGTTTAGTTAATTAATCAGCCTCCGGTGGTCTTATTTTGAACCTAGGGTTCGACCCCACAACATTTGGAGGCCCCAGCGAGATACCCGAAAGAGAGAGGGACCCCCCAGAAGGGGCAGAAGGCTTGTCTTCCACAGGAAGCTCTCCCTCTTGCGAAAGGAGAGAGGGACCCCCAGAAGGGGCAGGAGCTTGTCCTCCACAGGAGGCTCTCTCCCCTTTCGGGGACCTTAGCCGGAGACAGAAGCCGCAAGGATTTATTGAAATCGGGGAGACTGGTCTCATAAGGTAAGGTGCCCAGGTTATGGTTGAGATCTCAAAAAGGGTAAGGGTCCTGACTGAAAGGTCCCGGGTTCGATTCTGGTCAAGGGCATGTACCTTGGTTGCGGGCATATCCCCAGTAGGGAGTGTGCAAGAGGCAGCTGATCGATGATTCTCTCTCATCGATGTTTCTAACTCTCTATCTCTCTCCCTTCCTCTCTGTACAAAATCAATAAAATA